TGCAAGTATGTTTTGTTTGTCTTATGAGAGTTATTCTTGTTATCTTTTATTGTTTTATTGTGCTGGGAACTGAGCATGTTTCCTTCTATCATGTGCAAATGTGAATTGTGTTTAACATGTTGACTCTTTGTCGAGTATAATTTCTGTTTTCGTCACTTTAATATTACCCTTCGCAAAAAGTAGTATATTTGAAGTTTATTTTAATAAAACTTGTGTATAGGTTTAAGGATATCAAGTATATTACTCACCATGTACTTGTAGTGTACTAGAAAGTATTTCGATTTAATACGTCGGACTAAATTAGAACTTTTTTAGTTTATAAAAAGTAAACTTTAAGTATAATAACATTCATGCTGAACTGTATTTCACCTCTTTTCCTCCTCGTTTTCATCAAGACCCTAGTTGTCATCCTCCACAGCTCGAGGATTCAGATAACATTTCTCTGAACAACACTGACATTCATGTCCCAGAGGTTTTCTGACAAAATTAGTTTATTTTAATTATTTTTTATTTTTTACATGAAGTGCTCAGAGCCACTTCTGCCAGTGGAAGTGGCTGCGGCCATCATCAAAATAAAAACAGTTTAGTGACTTCTGGTTTACATGTTGATTTAATCTGCCTCCTGCATCACAGGACCTGTGATGTGACTATTGCACACATGTACACCGCGATGACGATACTCAAAATGATGTATCATGCAGCCCTATTCAGAAAACAAAAAAGGTGAGTGCCACACTGTCAGAAAGACTAATTATAATGTGATTGGATTAGGGTTGGGCAAAATTGTATTGTGCACAATTAATCGTCGGAAAAACTTCAGTAGATTATTGTTTGGCGCTTGATGATTAATATGATTAATGCCACCAGGCAGACTGACAGGAGGTTTCCTGTTGCTAGACTACGTAAAACCACAGTTATGATAACTCTGGTTTTACTTAGTCTAGCAACACAATAAAAAAATTGCCATATACACTGAAGTATGTACTTTTGACACAATTTGGAATAAATTTTTACAGAGAGCAAATCTTTCCCATTAGTGAGATTTAAATTGGTCGTGTGATTAGGGCATGAGGTGTCCAGGGACTCCAGGTGATTAATTGTTATATTAATGGTTATCAGCTAAATACCACAATTAATCATGATTAATGTTTTTTGCCAATATCGCCCAACCATAGCTTGGATATTTACAGTATATCATGAACTGCTCCTTCAAAAGACTAAATCTATTAATCATGGACATAAGGCAGATAAAACTTTCCAAATGAACCCTGACTGTGTGTACCTGAGTGGAAGGTGCTGCTGTATCTTGGCAATGAGCCCCATGCTGGGGTCAGACTGCATATACATGGTGGCCAGGATTCCTATGGCGACAAACAGCCAGGAGGAAGGGCTGGCAGGGTACACTCCTTTAATAACTCTGTTCTGCAACAAGAAGAAAACATTCACAATCAGACACTGTTGTGCTTTTTTCTGGGAAAATGTGTATTGGGG